TGGAAACCATTTTGACAATAAATTTCATATATTGAAAAAAAAAGCTTTTCCATAGAGCCTTTTAAGTTATATATAATCAGAGCTACTAGATATGGATGCTGGGGTCAGGGGATGATACACTGAGTTGACAGTGGAATGGGATGAAAGAACCTGGCACATATCGATGGAACTTTGGACTCCAGTATTTCTCATTGCAAAAGTCCTGCATATCATGGAGAAGGCTTTTTGTAAGATTGTACTTCATGTTCTGTACAGTTGAGCCTTCAGCCTTCTAGTGGACTGAAGGTGGTTGTTTTTTTGTTTTTGGTGAGGGTAAGTTGTTTGTAGAAGGTTATCACTAAATATATCTTTGGGTGGCTTCCACTGATTTCCTTTTCTTGTGTTACCTTCGTGACACTGTATCTAAAGGGAAGTAACCATTATAAGTACTATTTTGTTTTATGCAAAAATAGTTAAATCTTTTTTTTTTAATTTATAGGATCTGGGGACTCTGATTTACGTCTGGAGGATGCATTTGAAGAAACTTCCTCAGTAAAGCGTGAGTAGTAAATCAGACTATTAAACAGCAAACAATAATGATTAGTATACACCACCCACTCAGGAGACACACTCAAGGAAAACAGTAGGTGGCCTATATTGATCAGATAAAATATGGGTGTCATAAATTACATTATTTAAGAGAAAATCTGAATGTTTAACATCATTTGTTTCCTTTGCAAAGAATACCAAACAATGTAATAGCTGAGACAGCATTTTCTTCAGCAGCAGTCTCAGAAGACTGCCTTTCCCTAGCTCAAGAAGAGGTACTTTGAAGTGAATAAGAGATTTGTTTCTCCTCCTAGATTTTTTTATGACTTTTCTTAAAATGGTGTCTGTATGTTATCTCTCAAATGCTAAGCTTTGTCATCAGTTTCTCTTTAGTTTTTTTTTGAAAAAAATAAACCATTTAAAAAAATATGTGAATGTTAGAAAGTGAAGCGGAGATTTTGTGTGATCTTTCCCCATCCTGCTAACATACACTCCCATCCCAGGAGGGAGCTGCTGAAGTGAGTTTGGATCTGCTGGTCCCAAATGATTTTTTTGTGCTGTTACATACATCTATACACATAGATTGTTCGGTGTTGTTGTTGTTGTTGTTGTGTTTTTTTTTTTTTTTTTGCTTTATATAACACATGTAGAGCTTTTTAATTTACTTACATGTGTGTTATTGCACAACCTTTTTTATTTAATATATATTGAAGACCTGAATGAATATATCTATCTGTATTAATTTCCTACAGCTGCTGTAACAAAGTACCGTAAACTGGCAGGTTTAAAAACCAGAAATGTATTCTCTAACAGTTCTGGAGGCCCAAAGTCCAAAATCAAGGTATCGGCAGGACCACACTTCCTCTGAAGGCCCTGGGGCAGAAAGCTTCCTCACGTAGCCCTGCTTGTGGTGGCTTGTAGCTGTGAGACTCCAGTCTGTGCGTCCATCTCAACAGGGCCTTCTCCTTTGTGGGGTGTCGTCTTCCCCTCTGTCTCTTACAAGGAGACTTTTTGTTGGATTTAGAACCCACCTGGATAATCCTGAATGATCTCATCTCAAGATCCTTAACTTAATTACATCTGCAAAGACTGTTTTTCCAATTAAGGTCACATTTATGGCTTCTGGGGATTAGGACTCTGCTGTATATTTTTGGGGCCACCGTTCAACCTATATCATCTATATATCTTCATCTTTATATTTGTCCTTCAGATTTAAACTTGTGTTTCGTGGAGCTGGCATTCCAGTGGTGTGGCTTTGGCCATGGCCCATGATGCCATTTCCTTACTGACAGATGATGTGATTTGTTTTCGTTTTGCATAATTACAAATAGGGCTTCAGTGAACAGTCTTGTCCATATCCCTTGTGCACGAGTTCAATGGAACTATATATTTTAATAGATTCTGCCAGAATGTTTCCAAAATGAATGTTTCATTATATATTCACTGAACACTGTTGAGTTCCTTTTCTCCCAGATCCGCACATCACCAGGATCACGTTACCTATCCAAGCCATTTTACCAATATGATGGACAAAATATCTTCTTGCTTATTAAGCATTTCTCTAATTATAGTAAGATGGAGCATCATGCCATAGATTTACTGGCCATTTGTATTTTCCTCTTTGGTAAATTGTCTGTTCCTATCTTTTCCCCATTTTCTTGCTGGTTTGCTTGTCTTTTTTATGGGTTTGTGGACTCTCTGTATATTCTGGATGATGAAAGGGAGGGGCTCTGGAGCCAGACTTCCTGCGTCTGAACCCTGCCTCTGCCACTTATTGTCACCGTGGATGAGTTACCTGACTTTTCTGTGCCTCTGTTTCCTCGTCTGTTATGTGAGGTTAATAACGAGCCCTACCTACTAGGATTATTGTAAGATTAGATGCGATGGCCCATGTGAAGCACTCAGCACAGGACTGGTATGAGGTGAGGGCTCAGTAAGTTCAGTGGAATAGAATTGAGAGCCTAGAAATAAACCATTCTATGGCCAGTTGACTTTTGACAAAGATGCCAAGATTGATTGTTCAGTGGGAGAAGAATAAGCTCTTTAATAAATGGTGCTGGGAAGACTGGATATCCACATGCAAAAGCATGAAGTTGGACCCCTGCCTTATGCCTTATACAAAACTAACTCAAAATGGATCATAAACCTGAAACTACAAATCTCTTAGAAGTTCATTTTCATGTATGGTGTGAGGGAAGAGCTTAGGGCATTCTCGGGTCTTTCCTGAGTATGCACACAGTTCTGTCCATCCAGGTGGCCTTTTGGATTCCCAGGAAAATAAATATACTTAGTTTATTAGCAATGATGGCTTTCATGAAGTCATTTAACATCTTCCAAAATAAATATGACCAAAAATTAACAAACCCCAAATAAATATAAGTATAAAGATCCCCAGTTAGGACATTTGTTCTTTTCCTGATGGGAGACCTTTTACTATTTACATCCTTTTCTCAGTTGTGTACCTGCCCATCTGATCTCCATCACCTATGAGCCAGTGTGTCAGGGACCCATAGGACCACCAGCATGTGATGTCTTTGGTCAGATCATATCCTTCAAAGCCTTATCACTCTGCCATCCTTTTTTTTTTTTTTTCTGTCTTAGCTTACGTCTCATGCTACTGAGGGTCAAAGAGCTAGACCTGTCCATCTCTCCTAAGCTCAATTATGTTTTCTGGTGGAGAATGTTCTCCTTTGTATATTGTACCTTTCTTACATAAAGAATCCCTGGACCTTCTAGGTCCGGCTGTTGTGAAGGACCTTCCTTCATCAGCTCAGCAGTGATTATTGAGTGCATGCTTGCTGCCAGGCACTACTCCAGATTTGCCCTCACAATGTTATTTTCTCTGAAGAGACACAGTACACGAAATAATTTCAGGTATCGCTGAGCACTCTGGAACAAGTATAACAGGGAGATGGGACCGGGAGGGCCCAGGGAGGTGGTAAGGGGTGGCTACTTTACCTGAAGTGGTAAAGCCCCCCCTCCCCCGCCACCCGGACAAGAAGTGACCTGCAAGGAGTGGGGAAACAGCTGTCAAGGCCAAGGAAGCAGGTGTAAGAGTCCTGAGGCAGAAAAAGAACTGTGCTGGCTCTGAGGCTTGGAAGGTGGCCTGTGTGACTAGTGTGTGGTGGACGTTGGAGAAAAGACAGAGAAGTTGGAAGGGGCTGGGTCATATGGGGTCTTTAGGGCCTGGTGACCACTTTATTCTAAGTGCAAAGGGGAAGAAGCTCCTGGAGTCGTTTTAAAAACTGCTTTATTGAGATATAATTCACATAAGATACAATCCATCCATTTAATTTTTTTAATGTTTATTTTTGAGAGAGACAGAATGTGAACAGGGGAGGGACAGAGATGTAGGGAGACACAGAATCTGAAACAGGCTCCAGGCTCTCAGCTGTCAGCACAGAGCCCAATGCAGGGCTCGAACTCCTGTACCGTGAGATCGTGACCTGAGCCGAAGTACAATATTTAACCGACCACCCAAGTGCCCCATAATTCACCCATTTAAAGCGTGCAATTGAGTGACTTTTTAGTATATTCGCAGGGTTGTGCAACCATCACTACAGTCCATTTTAGAACCTTTCCATCACCTCAAAAAGAAACTCTGTACCCCTTAGCTGTCACTCCCCAATCCCCTGATTATTTCCCTCCTCCAGCCCCTGACAACCACTGATCTCCTTCCTGTCTCTCTGGATTCCCCTATTCTGGATATTTCCTATAAGTGGAGTCCAATAATAATGCAGACTTTATGTTCGGTTTCTTATACTTGGTGTAATATTTTCGAGGTTCATCCATGTTGCTTTCAGAACTTTGCTCCTCCCTTGCTCCCTCCCTCTTCTCCTCCCCTCTCCACCCCTTTTCCCTCCATGTGTTCCTTTTGCTGTGTGTGTAATCATGTCATGGGGAGCGTGCTTCTGCTTTTGCCCTCTAAAGCTGCTTATGATTGTCCCTATTTCCTCGGAAGGCCACGGACACCATCATTAAGCCACAGCTAGGCGAACCTGGCCGGTTTTGTTTACTATGTTGTAGCACATAGGAGAAAGACTCCCTTCTGGTAGGAGTGCCATATTGCTGGCAGCATTTGCTGAGCAGCAGAGAACATTTTCTAAGTTTGTCATTTTGAGCTTCACAGAAATAGGTGTCTTTATTTTAGGAGCTCACTGCTTTGATGAAGTTGACCTACTATTCTAATTCCTTGGTAAGCAGCTAGATTTTCCTCGTCCCAATTGTGGGTGATAAATCCCATCTAAAGGTTCATGACAAGAAAATCTGTAGTTAATAGTATCTTAAAAATCCCACAAATCCAAGCTCATGTTCCACATCCCCGCAGGCTTCACATGCATGAATGTTCTCTCAAAATGGCACCTACAGCCATTGATAACACTATTGATAAGCTATTGATAAGACTGTGTGGTACTGGCATAGGATTGACATGATTAGATCAATCAAACAGTCTGAAAATAAACCCTTACATGTGTGGTCAGTTGATTTCTTTTTAATCTGGAAAAAAAGTAATTTTACATGAGCTATTGGCGTCCTACAGATTTTGACTAATATTATGTAGGTGGCAATTGCTTTTTTGAGAATTGTTCAGGTAATGGTTTCAGCATCATAATTTCTCCTTCCTACCCATACCTATCACCGTAACATAGGTATACGTCTAGAACCTTCTTCACACACGTGTGCTGTACTTCTTTTTACAGCTTAAAGTCCAGCGGAAATTCTACACCTAAAATCCTCTCTAAACTGATGATGAACTAGATTTGAAAGTACATTGACAATAGGTTATCACACGTGGTCGCCTTACCGTAAAAACCTGTGCACTGGTGTGGTTTTCACATTGAGGTGCACATTGGTGTACCAGCTGCCTGCCCAAGGAGTTAAGCAAGCACAGTCGTATCAAGGGAAGGACTTGCCACATTCTCAACTTCCATGTGCACTTTTCCTAAAACTGACTTGTGGTAGAATGGACGTGCAGTTGTAGTGATGATCTTCTCCCCGCCCCCCCGCCCC